TTAATTTTCCTGCTTAAAAATCTTCCTGCTCAGAAATTATGGACATTAGAAAACCAGGGCAATAGGGAAAAGGCATTTCAAAATGTATCAGATATGCTGTCATTAAAAATAAAAAAGCCTAAATGGATAGCATTAGAAATCCAAGATGAATCAGATATACAAATGGCTTCAACAGGTACTGAAGCAACATTCTTGAGGGAGGAAAAGATGAGATGCAGTAAAGACCCACCCAGAAATGGAAGATAGAGTGACTCCTAAAACTGTGTACTGATTTAGTTCAACTATATTAGGTAAGGAAGAAAAGAAAAAAGCCAAAAACTGAAGCCAGTAAGACTAATGGTAAAAACAGCTTTAACCACAGCAAAAGTCACAGAAACAAAATGCCTGTGAAGTGCTGTTCTACTCTTTGACCATTTCTCTTTGAACTGTTTCTGCATTGGCTTTATCCATTTAAACAAATACATTTCTAAGAGAAAAAATAAAAAAGATACTCTTATAACCTTTGCTAGGATAGAGACAAAAATAATAGAACCCTGATTTCATCTGGGAGTCTCCAGGTTCTACTGGAATACAAACAAATAAAAATGTAATTTATTAAATCCAGACACAAGTTTAAAGCCTGAAGTTATTTCAGTTCTTTCTAGAAATATAATGACATATCAGTAAAGTACATTTCTCCCTTGAATATGAAAAAGGGATTTATTTTCCAATGGCACTTTGTGATAATCAGATGTTGAGAAAAACTGACCTAAAAATCTAAGCCTTTCATACTAATAAGTTCCAAACACACCATTACTGTCTGCTTCTTCCCATCTCCCTCATGTCTCTTATGACGAAATCATATTTTCTGATGTTGAAAAACAAAATTAGCATGCAGCCACCTCATTTATCCAGTGACCTTTTAAAAATTAAACTTATTGCACAAGGCAGGAACAAAGTCATTCTCATAAAATTCATCATAGAAAAGTGCCTGTCCAAATGCATTAAAGTTGTGTATGCTGTATATTAAATTGGAATTTAGTGATAATATATACTATCCAGACACTTTAATTATATAAATTCTTATGTATATTTATAGAATAAATGCTCTTGCTTAGATTGTAATTATTGAGAATTCTTCCACTTCTAAAGGATGAAGATTGTATATTTCAAGGTGTTGAGTCTCAACGGGTCATTGCTGTGGAAACTGATTGTATTTATCATATGTTCACAATTAAGAATGTGTCTGGTCACTGAAAATCAGACACACTAGCATCTATATTATAAGCAGCCAAGTCTAGTCAATTCCAAGCCTGAGGCTTAGCTTTGTAACACATCATAAGAGAGAACCCAAGTATCCTTTGCCTTTTCATGTTGTTCCAAGTTATCATCTTGCTCACTGGATAGATTTGGTCAGGACAGGACTGAGCAGTGCACAGTCCTGTTCCTCACTAGCAATCTCCAGCTTGGCTCCTCCTAAACAAAGTGCTGATGCTGGGTGTCCAGAGCAAAAGGCAGCAATGTGGATAGGAAACTTATGAGTGACAGGACAGTTTTTGGTTTTGGCTCTTAAGGGTTTATCATCTAAATGGCTAAAGCCAGTAGAAAAAGTTTCAAAGAGAAAAGGTCAAAGAGTAGACCAGTACTTCATGTTCCTTTTACGAGTTTACAGCAATGTTTGTTGTGGTTGCATCTGTTTTTACCATTACTCTTAATGGCTTCATTTTCTGCATTTCTACTCTTTTTTCCTTAGCCAATATAGTTGAACTAAGTCTACACTCAAGGTGCAGATATGGCCTCAGTTCTTCACAATATCATGTCTTAATCTTAAAAGTAAATCCTGTACCTGCTGTGACAGTCTGTAGTTACCACTTGTATGATCTGAAGGAAGGGATTTCAATAATCTGTTCAGTCTTTTCCATGTATTTGTTGCCTGGTCTAAGGGCTTTATAGGGTTTAATATATTCTCTATATAACAGAGAATAGACAGTAACTATGCAAAATATAGTAATGATAATTATACACTGATGAAATATGTGGACTAACATTTTTCAAAATTACCCATTTTCTGGGAGTCAGTTAGAAAATATTGATAAACTTCCGGACCCAAGGCTGAAGTTAAGCAGATGTTTTGTTCCTGCCAGTAGCTAAAAGATATTAGGATATAAACAGCTTAAAAAAAACAAAAGCCCTGACAGAAGAGAAGGGATCCAGACACACAGGCTGGCATTAGGAGAGACCTCTTGGAGAAAGCCCAAGAAGGTAAGCATTTTCTGGGATCTGGAGGAAGACATCTCCTGGGGAAAGGCAAGAATACACCTAAGAGGTTTTCTTGTCTAAGGTCAGTTTTCTCATAAATTCTTTGTCTGCTAATAAGTCAAACTCTGCTTTATGGAAGCTGTCTGGGCACTATTCCCATTGTCTCTGCTCCTGAACTCTTACCTGTGCTCATGGGGAATCATTGAATTCCAGGCTTGACACTGGATACCGCTTTTGGTAACAGATATTGTTCCTTTGTAGTCTGCTCCTTTTCCAATGATACAATTCCTGACATAATCTATTGGAAGAAAAGAAAATTAGGAGTTTGGTTAATGTATTTAAAATCAGAACTCTTCATACCTTCTCATATAAAGTGATACATTTATGATCACTTTTAAATAATTATTCAAAATACTGTTTAACTGTCTACATACATTCTTGTATCTTTTTTCCCCTACATATTGATCACTATCTTCCCAAAGAAAGCTACTGAAAATGTTTCCAAAATCCATGTCTGAGGACTTACATCTCTCACTCATCAATGAGATAAATAAAAGTGATATTAAGTCTACAGTAACTCATACAACTGAGCTTTTAAATACTAAACTGAAGAAGAAATTCAGACTAGTATATACGATGGTAGGCAAATATGTATGCTAGGAAACTGAGCAAAAGCATATGGACAAACTTGCATGACAGAAAAAGCAGGATATTTGTAAATAACACTGTAGGATGTAGCTTTCAGAACGCATAAAACCATCCCATGCCCAGGATGCTCTTACAGCCAGAAAGTGACTGACTGACCTCGGCTTTTCCCCCCTCCATAACTGGAAAAACAAAATCAGTAAATAAATCAGTTACCCTTCTTTTCATACAGATCAAACGCATGGTCTTGCTTCTTTCTCACACCATTTGTCAAGCTGTTGAAGGATAACCAATGGCACCGTTTTGTAACTCTGTCATAAGCAAAGGCCCTGCAAAGAAAATCTGGATGAGAAAAAAATCTCTGTGTGGTTTATAATAATGACACATGGCCTGCCAAGGAGCATGCAATGACATCAGATTTATTTTTACTGGGAAAGTCAGAGAAACAGTCCAAATTACTATTTAAACCTACAACTGTGCTGACAAGAACAAAGAAACAAAGAAATTAAATTGATGTGGCCATTACATTAAATACCAGCTTGGTTGTTCACACTAATCTAAGAGTTCCCTTGTCATTAAAGATCTTTATTTTAAAAGTGAGATAAATGTGACTGAGACAGCACTTGTGGCCCCAGTTACACTGTTTTCTGGGGGGAGGGAACACTCTAAAACATCTTTACTGTGCTTATAATATGCCTTTGAAATTGTTAAGTATCTCACAATGATAGCTTCAGGAAAATTCAAGCACATGGAGTTGCTTCTTGCCTAGAACAACAGAGCTCTTTAAAACCAAGATTATTTTTACTTTTATGAATAATCTAAACTGATAGAGTATCTATCTACAGCTTGCATTTGCTTTGGTTTTGTTTTCCTTTTTCTTCTCTTATTTTTAACTGCTTTCAAGGATAGAGTGCAAAATATGCTGAATTGAATGGATTTGGGGGGACAAGAAAGACAAACAGAAATCAGAAGAGTCAAAAAAATTTCAGTATTTTAAATGAAACATGCAGACCTTTTTCTCCTAACATCATTTTAAAAGAACATTACTGAAATATAGGTAAAATATTTTAAAGGATTTTAAAAACACAGTAAACTGCCTGGGTGGGAGCAACATGTATTGCAATAAGAAGGAAAAAAAAAAAAAAAGAAAATAAAAGAAGAAAAACAACAAAAAAGGCTGAAAATTCTTTTTTTCTCCCTTAATTTCTCATTAGAACCAAATAACAAATCACTGACATGATGCTATTGCTCTAGCCCACCACAAATTCTACATTTCTGTCAGTCATTCCAAGCCTCCTGAGATATTTTATTCTGACTTGAGAAGGCATTTTAACACTTCTTGATAATATCCAAAAGACACACATTTCCTACACTTCATCAGTACTTCGGCTGTGCCATATTCCTGAGCACTACATCCCTCAACTGAAGCTTTTTGATCTTCATTTAATTCACCATCAAGCTTTTCTTTGTGAGATCTTGTTGGCTTTAGTTAAAAACATTACAAGATCCCATCCAACCTCCCCACTCTTCTCTTTCGAACATCCTCTTCATTATCGGTTCCACCATCAAACAGATTTTTCATCCAACTGCTCTCTCTACTCTGTTGACTCCAAATGTTTCCAACCTGCTAACCTTCATCCTTCTGCCTTTGTTCAGCCTTCTGTTCTCTCCTGGCTGGTTCTCAAATATGAGCATATCCAAGTGCCTCTAACTCCATCTCCACAAAAATATCCTTGACCTTTCCTGCCTTTCCAATTACATTCTCCTTTCTCCACCTCCCTCCTAAAGTGGGAATGCAGAATGCACTGTTTACAAACATTTCGTTCAGTTGTTGCCTTTCAGTTGCCTTTTGATTTCTTTCCAGTTTGGCTTCAGCCACTCCTGCACATAAAGTTTCTAACAATCTTTTGTTGGAACCAAATCTGGACGGTTTTTACACTTCCAAAGTCAACATATTTAATCAAATTCTTGGACTTTCCTCTACTGATGCTGCCGATCACAACAATTTTTGTTGTTGTAATTTGTACTGAGATAGTTGATAGATTTTTTGATCAGAGAGATACTGAAAACCAATGGCCTATCTTGGAATCCTCTTCAGTATAAATATACAAAAACACTCCAGAAATTAAGCAGATAACAAAGGATAACACAGGCACAGCTTTGTAGGTAAGGAAATGACTTGTCATCTACATAGTCAATATAATAGTAACTATAATATCTTTTTCTCATCCATAAGAAAGGTAATGGCAAAAGCTGCAAGGATGACCAAAGGAGAAGAGTGGGAGTAGTAGACTGTAAATGATGGTGAATCCTTTAAGGAATAAAAGCAGCTTAGCAGCAGGTTAGTAAACCTGATAGGGGAGGCAGAAAAAGATGCACAGAGAATTATGAAGTCGACAAGGTAAATGAAACTGAGGAGAACTTTTGTGGGAGGGTTTTAGGAGTAGCGTTATAAAGAAGAAACACTTCTAGATAAGGATCTTGTAATTCAGTTGGAAACGATCAAGACCCTTGCGAGCATGATCGCAAATGAAGAGAAGAAAGGTCCATTCTGAGGTGACATATATTATCTCCATCAAAAGTTGACACAGTTAAAATCAGCAAAAATTAATGATTATCCAATATAATATTCACAATTTACTTGCAAGCAATACAGAAACTTACCATACATAAATCAAAAGTTGTCTTAATATTATTTTTTTATCACCAGAAAATAAAGAATGGCTGGTCCTTTTGAAGTCTGCAGTAGCTGGAATCTGCTACTTTACCACTTTCTAGCAGAAAAGAAACCCAGCCCTCTTACTGCTTGTGTACCTCACAGGGCACAGACCCAGGTGTTGCTGCTCCCAGTGCTATTATCACAATTATGTTACAAAATATTTCTATTTTATTTGATCTTAATACTTCAACAAATTGAGTTTACATCCAGAAAACAAAACAGTGCAGTGACCCAAGTCATGGGGAACTACCTTATGGATATGGAGTACCAGAATGAAGCCATGAAAACATCAGTAAACAAAGGAAAATCCGAGTCTTTCATTTCAAGTCTTTAAAATGCCATTTTGTGTTAATTCTTTTCTTATTTTAGAGTGCTTCCACAGCAACTAGTAAACTAATTGGTTTTAATTTAAGTTGGCAACAAATTTCACCTTGTTGTAACCATATGCTGATATGAAGTTAAAGACTGGGGATCCTAGGAGTAAAAGGGAAACATTAGTAATCACTGGTTCCTTTAAAAGGGAACACATGTCAAATATGTGTTTACAGTAGCATCAAAGAACTATGCACGCTACAAGAGGACTCATCTGGGGCCAAATGGGAAACCACAAGAATGTTCCCAGACACAGAAAATCCATCTTGCTTTGCTGTATAATGGTAGCGCAGGGAAAACCTAATCACCTACACCTCTGCTGCTAGGCTTCCTTCCTAAAAATCTGTCAGGCAAAATTGGAAATTCAGAGGCTGAATAGTCAGATTTGTAATTTTTTTTCATATTTAGTACAAAATAATTACATGACTGATTTCAATTCTGCTATCTGCAAGTAGGACTCTCCCACGCTGTGTTGTCAAAGACCCTCGTGGCTTCTCTACATTTATTTATTGACTGGATACAACAGGGAGAATATGCCCCTTAATGAATCAATCAGAGAGAAATTCTTCACAAATGGGAATGTTTTAAAAATTCAAAGAGATTCTACTAGATGATCTTAAGGTCCTTTCCAACCCAAACTATTCTATGATTCTATGATTCTATGTAAAATTGACTCAACAAATATATTAACTTACTTTTTATTTTCAGAACACAAAACATAACATCCAGAGCAGCTACAACTAGCTTGAGACAGTATTTCTATGGAGAGGTTAGAATATAAAATTTTTGTTTGCTTGGCATCATTCAGAAATCTTTTATACTGAAACCTAATCTTATAATACTCCTCTTTTCTGACCATCAGAACTCAAGGTCTCTTGCTGTATTGAATACAACCTGATCCACTTGGCAATGATATCAGTGGAAGCTCTGCCAATAGGAAAAGGAGTGTCTCGTACCATGTGAAAAATATTAGTGCCTGGAAAATATTTTCTAACAGAAAATAAGTAAAGTCTGCTCAGTGTTTACATATATAAGTAGTCAAAGTACAAAGCAATACAAACTAGATCTTGCAACATGGGAATTAAAGGCTTAAAGAAGGATTAAATTACAGTCGAGGACTGTTTCTGCAAAAGAAGAGCTTTTGTTGTCACATTTAGTCTAGCTTCCATTTGTAGTGATTATCAAAACTTTTTTATGTGTCAAGATGAGGCTGACATTTAGTTCAGTACTCACCAGTACAGAAGTCATCAATTCTCTTCAAGATTCTCGTGCATTCATGTCCTTTCATATATTGTTAATGGTCTAGACTAAGAGAGGCCAGGGGGATAATTTACGTCTAATACATAGGAAAAATTATAGTGATTTGTTCCAGAAAATAATAGAGAATATGTACAAGACAGACAAGCAATCAGCTACATGATGTGTTTCTAAGAGACAGCAGATGCTAAAGAATAGCTATCATATACTTGTAACGATTGTAGTGCCCAGAAGGTTTGAGTCCATTGTATCAGATTCATAATACTTGCCAATGAACTTCAGCAGTGCATGTATCTGCGCTCCATGTGTGAGG